AACATGCCGGGACGTGTCCGGGTGTCACGGGATAATGAGTCAGCGAAGCTTTAAATAGACTCGGTTTCGTTTCCGCTCTCAGACCGACAGCAGAGACAGGTAAGGTACATTCTGACACTTTCACTCACCTGCCAGGTAGATAAGGAGCCAGCCCTCTGTTTACAGCTGAATGAGCGTAGAACAGACAGGCCGAGGTCTGGAAACACGAACTAACCTCGCCGTGCGCTCTCAGAGGAGCCGGAGCGGCTTCAACCAGACTCTATTCAAAATTCATTCACTTTAGGGCCTCCTTCCGTTTCTGCGTTTCCCTGTTTTTCTGTTTCAAGAGAAAAGCTATTTCCCATAAGACAGGACCCTAAGAACACATTATATGTAAGTAAAAGTGGATCACAGAGTGCTTCACAACAACATAACGGCGCATAAAAGCTAAAAAATAAGAGCTTTTAGTTGTTTCTTAAAAGACAGACGAGGAAACGTTAAAGTTGGCCTGATTATTTGGAAGAATCTCCCTGAAAAACGATGAACGCTGCCTTCGTGAGGTCAGGGCCGAAAACGAGAGCGGCTCCTCCCCGTGAGTCTCAAACGCCTCCCGGTGAGCCCGCGTCCACCGGAACACCGGGCGCCGTGTTTCTACACAAATCTGAACGGAGTCTGGTGACAGGAGTGTACGTGCTTGGGGACGTGGTCGGGCGATCACGTGGTTTGTTTCGGCTGTTTGAACCGGATGTGTGGCGAAACATCTGACTCTTCAAAATAAAAGCCTCGGTCGAGTCTGTCAAGTTAAAAATCTGTTATTACCCGTTTGATGGTGATTATTATCGATTCGTGATTTTATTTCATCTGATCATGTTTATTGCTTCCTGGATTCAGACTCTTCTGCAGTTTCTCCTTTGGCCCCCTTTCGGATCAAGACCCAACAACAATGCGGAACCACAACACCAAGCAGACTTCCACTGGCACGGCTCAGAAACCAGTCCTCCCTCAGGTCAGATACCACCCCTCCATCCAGACTCCAGAAGGCATCACTGGAACCAGAACCTCCAGTAAAACCAGACCCGGTGCTGCGCGCCCCCTTCAGACTGGGACTGACTCCCGGGCAGATCCAGGAAACAGCGGCGCCCAAAAAGCTGCCTCGGCTGCGAGACCTCCTCCTGAAGGACAGAAACGGGCACAGAAACCTGTGAAGGAGGCGGTTGCTGCTGATCCAGATCCTCCCCAGAAACCTTCCCCAGCAGCCCCTCCCAGACCCGAGCAGGTGCCCCTGGATGTGGGTGTCCATCTGGACCGGTGTGTGGTGGAGGAGGTGGAAGTCTTGACCCGCGGACAGAGAAACAACCCAGACTGGTTCGCTTGGAGGAAGAACCGGATCACGGCCTCGGTGGCACACAGCATCGCTCGCTCCGGCTTTGTTAACGGCAAGAGTAAAACTCCGCCCACCTCCTACCTGGCTGCTGTCACAGGTAGGCCACACCTTCTACCACCTGGTACCCTGACTCCATATAAATCTTTTAGCAGCTTCACCAGGACGTCTGCTGCTGTGAGTTGTTATTGTAACACGTGCAGGAGCTCAGCCAGTAACTGGTTACCTGACTGTGTCGACAGGTGAGGGGCGCAGAGTCCAGACCAGAGCCATGAGCTGGGGGGTCCACATGGAGGCTGAGGTCATCCGCAGGTACCAGGTGTGTTTCAGCATCTTTGTAACACTCAGCCATCCTCACAAACACGGCCAGCAGGATGTATGAGAGCTCTGAGTTTAACAAGTCAAAGAAGCTCAGGATCAACGACG